CTCCTCACCGACAGCGGTCAACCAGCTCGACCGTGACCAAAGCAAACCAGTTGTGGTTGACTCGCATGTTGAGAGGGTGTCTGAATCGCTTTCCCTTTCTCCCTTCCCTCAGCCGCTGTCCCAGTTTTCAGGTTTGTTGTCCTGTAACAACTAGACAAGTGCAAACACTGGTCACACAGCTACACATACATGCGGAAAGGGAGAGGCTTGATGTGTGATGGTTCAGTGCACAAACACATACACTTGGGGGAATATGCCTCCCTACAGAGCTGCATTCAGCTGATACTCTACAGCTAAGGCCAGTTCTGGCAGTCGGTGTGTTTTTCAGTCGCAAACAAAACACTCTTTGAGGCATTTCTTTTATTTCTCATGGTCAAACAGGTGCTGTCAGATAGTGGAACACAGGGTGTTCTCCACTGTTAGGCCTGTGCTCCTCCATGTAGCTGTACTAACATAATTTAGTGCATGTTTTCTGTGAACCCAAAAAACAAGAGGGCAGGTGGACACAGGGAAGACTTTGTAGGAAGGAGGGAGGATAAAACAGAAAATCTCTCCTTCGCCTTTTGGAATGTGTGTGCATGACTGGCTGTGACTTGTTGCCCCTTTCCCTCTTTTCTGCAATTCCTTTTCACTTACTTGTCTGTGTGGAAGTGATGAACTGAAAGACTGAATGTATGTGTGTTTCGAGTCAGTGTTTGTGTGTGAATTTGGAACTGGTCAGGAGTCAGCTTAATGAAGTGACTCTGAGCATCACAAGAGAAGTGTATGGCTGTTGTAAGTATGTGTGTGTTAGTGTGTGTGTGAGTGTCCATCTACAGTATATGTGTGTGCGTGTGTCTGTCTCTGAGTGTCCTTCTATATGTGTGTGCGTGTGTGTCTGTGTGACTGGCAGGCTCAGACAGTGTGTGATGTGCTCATAAATCACACTGACAGCCTGTTACTGCGCTAGCTTTGGCCACTCAGCCACAGCTAATGTAAACAGAACACAGACACACACACAATGCGTGTTTTAAAGAACCGTGGCCATATCTCATGAGGGAATCTGAGACAGAGTGCAGAGTGGAAGAAATAAAATGGACAGACAAGTAGAAATGGGGGTGGGGGAGCACGAGGGCTGGAAAGACAAAAAAAGAGGTTCAGTTAAGTCCAGACAGATCAGGATAAGCCATTTACTGCAACAGATGAGAACTTGGCAATTCACTTCAAGGAACTGAACTATGGGAGGATGACACAGATTTTGTCTGTGAACACGACACAGGGGCACACATAAACACTCTGAGCACCACAAACAAATATTATGGATGTTATATATATAACAAAAATGGCTCTAGAAGTATAATATATTTGATTAGCTAAATGTTCCACTGATCTATTGCAAGGATAAAGTTTTTCCAGTTTTCATCCTACTCTGCTTTTTTTTCCTGTGAAGAATAGTTGCTGTGCTTACTCACCTCCCCAACAGCCTTCTCCCACACACAAACACATTGCCACCACACTTCTTCTCCCCAGGCACCAAGTCTGAAAGGAAGTGACCTATCTGCCCTTCCTGTGAGTTCCTCTGTGTTCAAAGATTTCCAGACACACACACAATGAGCAGTTCCTCAAGCTGTATTTATTTATTTTTCCTCTTCACTGTTATCTACGCAAGATAAAGTCCATCTCTCTCAGGAGGTTGGTTGGCGGGGGGACTTCAAACAGAGCAACACAGGCCAGGTCTGCCCTAGACTGTGAGAGCAGGAAAGGGGACATTTATCACCGTTACACACACAACATTATCATCATGCACCATGTAGTCTTTCCCACTTTCCCTTTAACCTCTCTCATTCTCTTCCCTCTTTCTCTTTATCCTCAGCATCGTCCGCTCAGGCCTCATAGTTCGCATTTTATTTTTCAGAAGCAGACAATTAACCTCATATCATACTTTTATTTATTTTATATGGTGTTAGTCGACTTTATACTTGAATTTGAAACTAAATTAAGTAATGAAATAAGCTGGCCAATTGACATCAGGCCAGAAACATGGCAGGGCCTTTTTCAGATGTAAAAAATATAGGAAAAATGAGCAGCTTTCTTACAAAAGATCAAACATTTATTTCAAAAGTACCATTAAAATAACTTTACAAAAGTGACTTCTGTTTGTACCTAAATGGGCAGAAGGCTTGTTATTACAAACCTAAATGATTTGGTGTCACAAATCTAGACAATATGTTAGTCAAAATCATTGCATACTTTCCTAATGGTGGTCACAAATTCATAATGTGAACAACCATCAGTTGGTCATATATCATAGAGATGTTAAAGATTTTTGTTGTGATGCCTTCCTTCCAGAATGTATAGAAATCATTTTAGAAATGTAGGTAAGAATAGAAACAAAAGATAAAATCTTCTCTGAGTGGCAGTTGGTTATACGTTGACATGTGGACTGGACAAGCCAGGACTCGAGCTGTTAATCTTGTGTTTGGGAGAGAATCCACGCTACCTCCTGAGCCGCAACATGGAAGTACAGTATCGCCAAATTGCTAACTTTTTCTGCCCTCTGTCTCCCTGTCTTTTGGCTTAACAGCAGTTAGGCAGTAAGCAGCTGGCCTTCCAGCAGCAGCTGATCCAGATGCAACAGCTTCAGCAGCAGCACATCCTCAACCTCCAGAGACAAGGTCTGGTCCCACTGCAGCCCACTGCCGCCATGCAGTCTCTGCAGCAAGGTACATGCACACACATACTGTGCATACAGCGCAACCGTATTACACATCTCTAACCGTGCAATAGTCAAGTCACAAAGACACATCTTAACAAACATGCATGCATGCACACATGGTCATATCTACACACAAATGCACACACAAGCCAGTACCCAATGCCACATGTGAAGCCTGTCAAGTTAATCAGCCTATAAAAGACAAAAGAAAACCTGATTGGTGGATTTGTAGAAGTTACTCATTTGGATAATAGGTCAAATATGCCACAAAGCTCGCTGCTTGGAGATGTGTGTTAGCATGCGTGTGTGTGTGTGTACTTGAGATTAACCAGACACAAGGACATCATTGTTTTGCTATTGCCGTGCATGTTATTTTTTTCCTATGTGTAACTTCTCCCACAGTTCCTTCATTTTCTCAGCAAAGTTTTAGAAGAATAAATGTTGAAATAAATGTTGACTGGCTCGCCCTCAGTGAACATATGTAGGTGTGGCCTTATCTTTCTATTCTTGTGGGGGCAGAAAACCATGAGCACACTAGCTTCTCAAAGACCGGCGTCAATTGTGGGGACAACATGATTTGTCGAATTTTACAAAACTAGTGTGGTGTAAAGTTAGAGCAAGTGTCAGCTTTGGTTAAAGTTAGGGTAAGTCTCCCAGAAATGAGTTTAGTCTATGTAGGGACTTGGTGAGTAACAAAAACAAGGATGTGTGTGCGCATGTGTTTATGTGTATGTCTGTGTCCACTTTAGTTTGTACACAGGCACACACATGCAGGGGGCTCTGAAGTGGCTGTAACATTGCTAAAGTGCTGACTGAGTTGACCAAACAGACCAGTTTCCTTACCTCTGCCTGTCTGATGTCTGTTTTTCTTAAGCATAGTTACAGTACATGCAGTCACACACAAACACCTTCATAATGTCTCGACCGTGACCAAAGCAAATAAATAAATTAAATATAATAAATCTAGTTGCATAAATTCAATTTCTCAAAAATTCATTTGTAAAAAAGGGACAAAAACTTTAGTTTGATGCGTGTGTGTGTGTGTGTGTGTGCGCGCCTTTGTATTACTTACATCATGAGGACCAAAACCTGTTAACACACTCACAGTGTGGGGACTCCGGCATCCTTGTGTGGACCAGAAGCTAGTCCCCACAAGGAAATCACTGAATTTTAGGGTGGCAACATGGTTTAGGGCTAGGATGAGGTTAGGTATTAGGGGCAGGGTTAGGGTTAGGTAAGTAGTGGTTATGGTTAAGGTTAGGGTTAGTCTACAGGAAATGAATGTAAGTCAATGTAAAATCCCCACAAGGAATGAAAACATAGCGTATGTGTGTGTGAGAGAGAGAGAGAGAGAGAGGAGGCCCACCAGAGGGCAAGTGGAATTACCAGTTTATAGAGTGGATACAAGTTTAATACAAATTAAAAGACAGAGACTACACTTTTGGATCGAAGATTGCAATTTTTCTGACAGTTACAAACTTTGGCGTCTCCTTCTCCTCTTTCCTCTCTCCCTCCATATCAGAGTGGAATTTCCCTGCAGTGTGAAAGAGCTGGTCCATTGTGACGGCTCAGCCAGGCGTGAGCCAGAGCATTCCTCTGGCCAGCCATGCCACACAAACACACAAACACACATGCATAAACACTCGCACCTACACTTACACACATGCACACACTGTTTCCCCGCCTCAAAGGGCCGTTGTGTCCGGTGGTGGGAGGTGACACAAGGGGGTGGGGGAGCTTCCATGGTTTTATTTATTTGTCAAGTTCATTAAATCT